ACGCATCAGTACACCACGCATGAGTGCACCACGCATCAGTACATCACGCATTAGTACACAATGCATCAGTACATCACGCATCACTAAACCACGCATCAGAACACCACGCATGAGTACATCACGCATGAGTACACCACGCATTAGTACATCACGCATCAGTGCACCACGCATGAGAACATCACGCATCAGTGCACCACGCATCACTAAACCACGCACCAGTCCATCACGCATAAATGCACCACGCACCAGTACATCACACATTAGTACATCACGCATCAGTACATCACGCATCACTAAACCACGCACCAGTACATCAAGCATCAGTACATCATGCATTATTACACCACGCATCAGTACATCACGCATCACTAAACCACGCACCAGTACATCACGCATCAATGCACCAGTACATCACGCATTAGTACATCACGCATAACTTAACGACGCACCAGTACATCACGCATCAATGCACCATGCATCAATACATCACGCATCAGTACACCACACACAAACACATTACGCACCAGTACACCACGCATCAGTACACCACCCACAATAACACCACGCATCAGTACCCATACAATAGCACACCACACATCAGTGCACCACGCACTGCAACACAACGCATCAGTACACCACGCATCAGTGCATCACGCATCAATATACCACACGGCAGTACACAACGCATCAGTACACCACACATCTGTACACCATGCACCAGTGCACCTCGCACCATAACACAACGCATCGGGAAACCACGCATCAGTACACTACACATTATAACATTACGCACCAGTACACCACGCACCATAACACCACGCATCAGTACACCATGCAGCATAACACCACGCATCAGGAAACAACCCATCAGTACACCATGCACCATAACACCACGCATCAGTATACCATGCACCATAACACCACGCATTAGTACACCTCGCACCATAACACCACGCATCAGTACACCTCGCACCATAACAACGCATCAGGAAACCACACATCAGTACACCACACACCTTAACACCACGCACCAGTATACCACGCAACAGTACACCACGCATCAGTGCTCCACGCACCAGCACACCATGCACCATAGCACAACGCATCAGTGAACCACACACCATAACACCACGCACCCTTGAACACCATGCACCATTTCACCACACACCAGTACACCATGCACCATTTCACCACACACCAGTACACCATGCACCATTTCACCACACACCAGTACACCATTTCACCACACACCAGTACACCATGCACCATTTCACCACGCACCAGTACACCATGCACCATTTCACCACGCACCAGTACACCATTTCACCAGTACACCATGCACCAGTACACCACGCACCGGTACACCATGCATCAGTACTTCACGCACCAGTGCCCTACACACCATAACACCAAGCACCACTCCACGCATCAGTACTTCACGCATCAGTGCACCACGCACCAGTACATCACGCATCAGCACACCAGTACTATCGACTCTTGGCTTTACTTAAAAACCTTAAGACATGACTACTCCTCTTTCGAATGGATTCCAAAGCTTCAATGTAATGCGTACAACGGGAAAGATATTGCAGGGTCCCCCAAATGTATCACCCAATCACTGTCATATAGATTAACCATAATACTTAACACAATCAAGGAAGGACTTTGTTTATGTTCTCAGAAAGCTTTTGAGACAAGTGGAATTAATACAATTATTCCAGCGTGTCAGCTTAATGTGGGAGGAAAGCCCGAAGTGATGCAGGTCTTAGACGTTTACCAATTCGGCGAAATCCACGATTATCGGGGCTAACCTGGATTCGAACCCACAATCATAGGTTTCTGGCGTGCCCAAAGAATGCAACTCTGCACAGCGAATTGCGGCGCCTTAGACAACTGGGCCACCCGTGTCCCCGGATTTCCTCATAGATAACATCGTTTTGACTTGTGCTCCCCTTCTTGCTGTACTATTTCTATATTCATATGAATCTGAATTTCTGTTCGGATTGAAATAAATCAAAACAAGGAAGTTATATTAAAGTTTTACTTATTTCTTTTATGATCCATAAATCGTCGGCCCATGAGGGTCCTTATTATACATCGATCCTCGTCTTAAAGTTGGTACCGCGCCAGTCCGCAATTGATTTTTACACAACAAACAGTAGGTAGCCGATTTTAGTATAGAGACGTCATAGTTACACAAGGTGTCATGTGGTGAACATGGTTTGAAGCAGAACCTTCTAAATAATAATAATAATAATAACAACAACAACAACAACAACAAAAACAACAACAACAACAGGTTTCTGTCCCCTTTGACACTTGTGTGATTGACAAGATTGAGGAAAAACACGGCAAACATGCAGACCTCGCTTTCGAAATGTCACGCTTCCATCCCAATTACCAAGTTGTCCGACTTCCCATTGTTCTCGGTGCCTTAGGTTTGGTACCTCCCAATCTGTTGACTGACATTTGGAGAGTACCCGAGTTTGCTACCAGGAATACAGCCCTTCTGACAATCTGGGTAATGCAGAAGGCTGCAGTGTTGGGGAGTCTTCATGTTCTCCGAAAGGTTCTGGGTGGGTTTGACTACGCAGCGCTTCCTGGGAGAAGTCCCATTCGCTGTCTGGGCTGCGTGTAGAGGGGGCAAGGACCCTGAGCTGATGATGAGCCTAAGCACCCTGACTGTGCCAAGATCACTGAAACGCTTTTTGCTGCATTTTGTATTTTAATCTGTAAATAATAATAATAATAATAATAATAATAATAATAATAATCCGAAATTGACGTTAACTGACATGATGATGGTAACAGTAATTATAGAAATAATCATAAGTATACTGTCAAGAAAGTATATCAACTCTGTTTCATCTAAATGAGCGTCCAATCAAACAAATGCTTTCTTTGTTTGACTGAAACAAAGTTATCCGTCATTGTTATTTCACATATAAAGAACTCATTCGTGAACACTCGGGTAATTCCGTGGCGGTTCCGGAAAGGCGAGTGTCGACAAACTGCGCAGTCAAGTAATCAACATCACCAGTCTTGAGGTGTTATGTGTGTCTTGTGCCACATAATGAAAGGTGATACTTGGTATTTTATGCTTAATACAAAAAACACGATACATTATTCACTGAAGGCACTGTACACAGAATTGTGGGTTTTTCTGTATAAGAACTCCCTATCTGTTTATTCCAAACATCAACCAGACCACTCACATTTGGTACACCACGTGTCCACTCATGGCGCACAAAGAGTTGGTAAACTGGTATTAATGTCAACCTTAACAGTATCCCATTTATATCATGACAATGAAATCAGCCCAGTGTACATTAACTCCGGATATATCGAGTACCTAAGTGTTCCGTTCGTTATATCCGAAGTGGGATGTGGTATTGGGTTGATCGTTACATCGCTATATCCAGCTTCGTTCATATCCTGGTCTGACTGTACTGACATTTTCGTAGAAGTGGAAATTAAAACAAGGCAAACGCGAAGTGCTTGAATAGGACGCTGAATCACTAAGGTGTGGTGAACCTTGTTTGTTAAAAAGTGCTTCTGTAATCTGATCTCACTGAGCAAATTGACAAAGGCACGTGAATCCACCAACTACTGCAGCCTCGTACTCACTCATGTGTAGGAGTACCACTGAGTAAGAGTAAGATTTCCTCAGAGTTATCTCCCTTAGCTTCGATCACCTCTAACGTTTTTGATACAACACATGACCAGATGTCTCATAACACATATTGCAAGGACATGTAACGTTTGTTTCCTTTTGTTGTTGTTTCGTTCAGTTAAAACGTTGATTTAGAGTTTTATACATATGGCCTTGACCATAAGAGCACATACTGATGTTGTTTCGGAAGCTACAACGCTGTTTCAGGTTATTAATGTTTGAAATCAAACAAAAGGATGTTAAATGTTGTGTTTGTTGTTGTTGTTGTTGTTGTTGTTGTTGGTGGTGGTGGTGGTGGTGTTGGTGGTGGTGGTGGTTGTGTTCTGATCAACTAAAATGCTGGCATCATGATATAAATGCCTGATAAAAATGTCACATGACACATGGACGTCCAAAGTTGTTGTCCCGATCAGCTCAAACGCTGGTATGATCTTATAGATGGTTCAGTTAGATGCCATATGACTTCAGGACGCCAAAACTTGTTGTTCCGATAAGTTAAAACACTGGTATGATGTTATAGATGGTTCATACAGATGACATAAGATTTAAGGACGTCTAAATATGTTGTCCCGATCAGCTCAGACATTGGTATGATGTTATAGATGGTTCAGTCAGATACCATATGACCTTAGGACGTCCAAACTTGTTGTTCCGATCAGCTCAAACGCTGGTATGATGCTATATATGGTTCAGTTAGATGCCATATGACTTCAGGACGCCAAAACTTGTTGTTCCGATAAGCTAAAACACTGGTATGATTTTATAGATGGTTCATACAGATGCCATAAGATTTAAGGACGTCTAAATATGTTGTCCCGATCAGCTCAGACATTGGTATGATGTTATAGATGGTTCAGTCAGATACCATAAGACTTCAGGACGTCCAAACTTGTTGTTCCGATCAGCTCAAACGCTGGTATGATGTTATAGATGGTTCAGTTAGATGCCATAAGATTTAAGGACGTCTAAATATGTTGTCCCGATCAGCTCAGACACTGGCATGATGTTATAGATGGTTCATACAGATGCCATAAGATTTAAGGACGTCTAAATATGTTGTCCCGATCAGCTCAGACATTGGTATGATGTTATAGATGGTTCAGTCAGATACCGTATGACTTCAGGACGTCCAAACTTGTTGTTCCGATCAGCTCAAACGCTGGTATGATGCTATAGATGGTTCAGTTAGATGCCATATGACTTCAGGACGTCCAAACTTGTTGTTCCGATAAGTTAAAACACTGGTATGATATTATAGATGGTTTATACAGATGCCATAAGATTTAAGGACGTATGTCATAAGATTTAAGGACGTCTAAAGTTGTTGTCCCGGTCAGCTCAAACACTGGTATGATGTTATAGATGGTTCATACTTCTTGTTGTTCCGATCAGCTCAAACATTGGTATGATATCATAGATGGTTCATACAGATGACTTATGACACAATGAGGTCTAAAGTTGTTGTTCCGATCAGATCAAACGCTGACATGACGTATTTAATGTTTGATACAGATGTCAAAAACTGAAGGCCGTCTAAAGTTGTTTGCGGTGGTAGTCGTGTCATGAACACTGAAAGTCCAGTGATGAAGATGGACATTACAAATGGTTAATACTGACAAGCTGGACATTCTTGTCGTGCGCAGTACTCACGCTGTTCGTACTATTAGACTTGGAGAGTTTATTTTTTCTCAAATTTGGTACCACGCCATTCTTAAGTTCGTCCAAGCGACCAATCTCATTCTGAAAGCAAATGGAAAATAACTGAAGACAAGGGTCTGGTGTATTTTGTTTAATCTATGAGGAACAACCTATTTTCCCTGATAATTGCTAATAAACGATAAAACAAATAGGATCGAAACTGTGTGAGTATTAGTGAGGTAGTGAGTTAGCAATACCCCACGACGATCAAGGTTTAATTTCCTTTGTATATACATAAATGCAATTTTGATACGCAACGTGGAAATTGAAGTAATCATGACACAAAAGCGTATACATGAAAATCGACTGTCCACATGTCTCTATTTTAGTTCACCCGACTAAAATCTCAAAGAGATATATATACAGTAATGTATGGACAAGACATGATAAAACAGCCCGTTCGCCTTTTCGTATTCATATTTATGTTATTATTAATCACTGCTAGTCCCAGAAAACTACATATCTGAATTACAGTAAACTACGGTTACAACGAATTCAAGGGCACCACTAATTTTAGTTCGTTATAATGGTACTTCATTATAGGCATATATATAGGATATATACAGCAAATGACAGGGACCAAAAGACAGTATGTTATGTCCGTAAGTACAAGGTGTAACATCCTTCCACCTGGAAGATGAATAACATTGTCCTTAAGTATGAGAAAAGTACTTCAAGAAATATGCTTCACATCAATATTTTCATCTAAAACTGGCATTGGTATTAAGCATGTGGTCCTGCATTAACAAGAAATCTAACAACAAAACGGTAGTCGCACATAATTAACTATAAAACATTTGTGTACTAAACTATTGAATCTGTTTGCTTGTCTGGCTTGTAGGGTTTGAACTAACACGAACACACTTTTTGTCTTATACCGTCTGCGAAATTTAAAAAACCCGAAAAGAAATGAGTACTTGGTCGAAATTAAAATTTTATACAATTGAAAACATGAATTTGTTCCAAAAAAACACGTGGAATTTACTAACCTCAAATTTCAAGTCACGTCAAATCGAAGAGTTACTTCCCTTTTCTTGTTGATCTAGTTGGAGTTTTTTCATAACAGAAATTTTACAAGATAGGAAAAAAAACAAGAAAAAAATGTTTTGTGTATTTTCGTTGATAACTAAAACAAGCAAAAAATGCCCAACTTACTTCAAATCTCTTTAGTGTTTTTCTCTCCATCTTTGAGGCGTTCTGAACCAGCACGTCTGTGATGTACTTGATGACCAGAGACAGATAGGACAACCCAAGAAGGATCCAAACATACGCCGCAATCTCATACGCATCACGGGCTGGGCCTGCCGATATCTTCTTCTCGTGAATACCTGAATTGGGGAAAATATGCAATGTGAGTACATGATCATTACTTTCACACCTGGGCCCACTTGCACAAAGCGATCTTAGTGCCAAGATGATTGTAACTCCCATACTTTAACATAGGCTTACGATAGTCTTAGCGCTAAGATCGCCTTGTGCAAGTGGGCCCTGGTCTGAGTTCACATATATTTCCCCATATATCATACATATTTCAGATGCAATTTAAAGCTCAGCTGGACATGCGGAATTATACAGTATGATTGAACACAATTAACTGTGTCTTGGTATATTTTTTGATGCAAGACATTTGTAAAATAAAAAATTATTTCTGAGGGATTCTTTGATGAAGAACTTGAAATCATACGCGCATTCTGATTGGTTTGTCGCATTTTCGTACATAACATTCATCGAAAGGGGGAGTCATAATCACAATTACTCCGCGGTACGATTCCGGCTATAAGCGTGTGTTCATGAATCACTCAAATAGTGATGATACCAGGTGTTCGCGAAAAGGTGAACGTATCATGACCCACCGGTGGTAATCATGACAAACACATGCGAAGGCAAGTCAACTGTTCATCTCAACAACAAAACCGGGAACATATGGTATAAGTCAAAATAGGGAATTGCATCGGACAGCATTCTTGTCACTGATGAGTCAAATTTGAAAATGAGACCATGCCATTTCTTGGAAGCTTCACTAAGGCCACGAATGCTGTAACCCTGATCAAACAACTTTTGGCAAGAGTCGTATGAGACTCTTTGACTCCTTGTAAAATCTTCGTGGGAAGAATATGCTCGATTTCACCTCAAAATTTGTCAAATGTAAACACCTAAAGGCTGAAACTACTGAGTCCACTTGCACAAAGCGATCTTAGCGCTACAACTATTGTAAGCCTATGTAAAAGTATGGGAGTTACGATCATCTTAGCGCTAAGATCGCTTTGTGCAAGTGGGCCCTGGACTATTGCTCGACATAAATGGAAAGGCCAGGAGATTTGATGCTGATTCCTGTCAATTATAATCAATGTACACAGGCCGGAGGGAATAAGAATGGTTAATGAACATTACAAGCCTTGTTATATCAATATCGCAAAATCCTTTATGAGAATAAATCACTTTAAAAAAACTTTATTCCCAGGACATTATGCTCGAGTGCAGCAGTTACGATAACATTATAGTAACCATAACAACTAACAAACTCCACCTCATTACGATTTGTTTCGTTTTTAAATTAGAAACCGATCAACATCAACAAATGCGATTTTCGTCACGCTTTCATTCCCAAACATTAGAAATAGTTTGACAAAATAAAATAAAAATTATTCGAAGGTACATATGCATTATACACCTGTCCGCCATGTTTGTTTGATGCTAGAAATAAAGCCGCTTGCGACAGCACCACTATATGAAAATAGGGCGATAAAGGTTAAAATAAGCAGAAAAAATATCCCGCTTGCATATGTATGGTTTAATATGATTAAAACTTGACAATGAATATCAAAGCCATGCATTAACGTAGAATATTGGACAGCAACATCGAAACAGTACTCGAAAATACAAGTTCCGTTATGGAGTGCGATATCCTCATCAGTGACATCCGGCGGAGCCACGTTGTATTTTATATCTATTTTGGTAATTAAACAATACATTTACTTACGAAAGCATTTAATTCAAACCGTTGTGTGGAAGGACAGGCCCCTAAAAACCACAGGAACCCGTCATTAGTCAGGAAACAATACCCTCTATATAAAAGAGGTATATATTTACATTTACTGACCAATAACGAGTTCCTGCGCCCTAAACCCCTTGTTATTTTAGAGACGCGACAAAATGGCGTCTGAAAAACTTAGAAACCGTTATTGAGAATGGCGGAAGGTGTCTGGTATACTGCATTCTTGCCTATTCTGAGAAGTGAGGTTTATTAATTATTCGGTGCTTTATGTTAGAAATAAACGACGATATTTCTTATATAAGATATCAAAATATTGTTCAGCCGATGTAAAATTATTTATCCGTATTTAAATAATGATGACTCCCTGAAAACAATCCGACCTCGACAATGTTGGACAAGTTCATTTTATGCACAGGTATTTCCCGCATATTCCTCACGTCGCGATCGATTATCTGTATCTTTTCAACCAATACCGATTGTGATATCTCTTCCGCTTTTGGATGCAGTGGTTCGGCCGTCGCGTTCATCTGCGTTGCCCAAATACACCTATGGGGAACAACTCACTAGACACTCCCCTCACAACAATTACGTCGTCCAATATATGACGTCATCAAGTTGCAAGGGCATGTTCGAATCTCAAGAAACGACGTCGGGATAGAATAATGTCTCATCTCGAAATAAACCACGCTTCGTTCTTCATTGTTCTTTGCGATTTATCGCGTAGCTGTCTTATATAAGAAAAGAAAACGCTATATACGTATTTTCCACACGATGAACGTAGCGTAGTGGACAACATTGTTTCCTCAGAAAAAACCCATTTCCTTTAGAACCTCGACTTAAGCTTGATGAATATTGATGATCTGTTAACTAATGGTCAAATAGCCAATTACCACCAACTGCTTTACCCAAATAAACTAGAAATATAAGAGACCAGTGTTTCATATTTAGATAAATGCATGAAGATTCATAGTGGCACAGGCCCGTGAAGATCCGGGATAGAATAGGTCTTAAGCAACCCATGCTTGGCGTAAAAGGCGACTATGCTTGTCGTAAAAGGCGACTAACGGGATCGGGTGGTCAGGCTCGCTGACTTGGTTGATGAATGTCATCGATCCCAATTTCGTGGATCGATGCTCATGTTATCAATCACTGGATTATCTGGTCCAGACTCGATTATTTACAGACCGCCGTCATATAGCTGGAATATTGCTGAGTGCGGCGTTAAACAACAAACAAACAAGAAAACATAGTGACACAAAACTGTCCACAAGACTGTGTGACAAGAGGGATGACTTCAACTGTCCAGCGGTCAACTTTCCCCTTATGTTCAGCATCAGTCCTGTAGCTCCAGCATTTGGGGTCCACATTTCCAAATTTGACGCATCAGTGACAACAGTTATACAGGATGCAACTCCCAAAGTTGACTCGCACCATATGCTATGTGAGTGAGTGAGTGAGTATGGTTTTACGCCGCTTTTAGCAATATTCCAGCAATATCACGGCGGGGGACACCAGAAATGGGCATCACACATTGTACCCATGTCGGGAATCGAACCCGGGTCGAGCGAACGCTTTAACCACTAGGCTCCCCCACCGCCCCATATGCTACGTTCCAGTGTTTTCCAGGTGAACAATTGACCTGCCTTTCCACGTGTTATGTTTGTGTGATGGTTGCCGCCGGTTGGGCATGAAACGCTCATTTTTTCGCGAACACCTGGTATCATCACTTTTTTAAAGTGATTCATAAACACATGCTAGTAATATAGTCGAAATCGTACAGTAGACTCTGTTCTTTGCACAGCTTTCATATGATTATGGAAAGGGTTTCGCACTTTTATTTTTTTAATATTTTATTTACATATACTTCTAAATGGTGTGCTGACCGCCTCCGTGGTCTAATGGATAAAGCTTCTGCCCGGAGAGCGATAGGTCGGTGGTTCGATCCCTGGCCGCGTCAAACCGTTGTTACCCTGCCTGGCGCTCGGCATAAGGTTGGTTGGTTGGTTTGTTGTTTAACGCCGCACTCAGCAATATTCCAGCTATATGACGGCGGTCTGTAAATAATCGAGTCTGGACCAGACAATCATGTGATTAACATCATGAGCATCGATCCACGCAATTTTGGATCGATGACATGCATCAATCAAGTCAGCGAGCCTGACCACCCGATCCCGTTAGTCGCCTTTTACGACAAGCAAAGTCACCTTTTACGGCAAGCATGGGTTGCTGAAGACCTATTCTACCCCGGAATCTTCACGGGTCCTCGGCATAAGGGGATGGACTGGTCGGCTCGGTGTCGGTATACGGTGTCAGTGGACTAGCATTATAGAGCCACAAACGCACGCAGGCACGAACGCACACACACACACACACACACACACACACACACACACACACGTGAATAAAACCCCATGGAAAACGTCGAACCCAGCGGTATTTGTGAAGTCGAGGTCTGTAAAATCCATGCTGTTATTTCAACCCTAGGCCAATATAAGCCGGATATTTGGTGTAATCCTGTCTATAACCTGAATGGCATACCGTGAAACCATAGCCTATAATATCCATGACATCCAACACGTGGACTCTGTCAGCTCAAGGTCAGTGAAGTCATGTGAGAATGAAAGAATATGGATTGTACGTATTTGAGCAACAGTCAAGCAATATCACTGTGGGGCTTCACATATTGTACCCGTGTGTGCAATCAAACCCAGGCGTGACGACCGAACGCTTTAACCACTAGGCTACCCCAGTGGTGTCGGTTACGTCTGGAATACTGTAAGGGACATTCTCGTGTTTTGGGCATATTTAACTCGTTTCCAAAGGTCGAGATCGCGAGAATGTCCCTTACAGTATTCCATTGTTACGTCTGGGAATAAGAATGTTTTATCGTGAGAGCGTGAATATGGTTTTACGCCGCATTAAGAAATATTCCAGCAATATCACGGCGGCTGACATCAAGAATGTGTAACTCTGTAGGTCACCTAACTATAATTAGATTTTATGGGTCCACACCATTTATCATAACAGAATGGTCATACAGTAAACTACGGTTATAACGAACTCAAAGGGACCACTAAGTTTAGTTCGTTATAACCGTAGTTCGTTATAAGCATATATACAGCATAACGACAGCAAATAGTCGGGACAAAAGGGAGGTTCGTTATATCCGTCAGTTCGTTATAAGCGTGTTCGTTATAAACGTAGTTTACTGTACAATACACGGGATACCGAGAATAAATACATGCTGAAGTACAGAATAAAGGAAGGACCAGTGGCCCAAAATAACTTTACGTTCATGAAAAATTAGATGATAATTTAATATCACTTACAAGTAGCACATGTACCGTACCGTAATGGGTAGTATTCAGCATGAGTAATAGCATTTACAAAAACCACCAAAAGTCGCTCAAGAAATCAATATAATACACCAAACCATGATTTTTAAATGCTTTTATCATAATTTCATTAAGAGCGGGCATCAACAATTAGTTAAGTGCGGCGGCTCACTTACTGCATGAATAATGCACGGTAGTAGTGATGATACTCTAGTCAACTTGGATATGTGTTTTTTCGTTCTATTCAACAGCTTAAAATATAAAGTTCATTGGGATTTACGGTACAACATCATCCTGCATAATGCGCCGCCGATCTAAAGCCATCATCCGATTACAGGCGGTTGTGTGTTAATATATATTACACTAAATGTGAGGAAAGTGTGAGAGTAACGATAAATTTGCATCAGGTTTGACACACTAAACATGTCCACTGTAATTCTTGTCTAAATTTGACGCGTCAGTGACAAGAATGGTGTCGGATGTTATTCCATAGTTTGACGTATACCACATGTTCCCGTTTTTTCAAGGGAACAATTCACTTCCCCCTCCATGTGTTTGTGACAGGTGCCGCTCGTGGGGCAGGATACGCTCACCTTTTCGCGAACACCTGGTATCATAACTATTTGATAGTGATCCAGAAACACATGCACATGGCATGGTCGGAATCGTACAATGGTCTCGATTTTGGCAGATATTTCTTTTGATTATTGAAATGGATTTGTCTGTTTTATTTACATGTTGTGTCTGCAGTAGAGCGATTATCGGTTGTTTTTACAGGATTTTTATATTATTTGTCACATTTGTATCCGGCAGCATTTCATACAGGTGAGATAAAGGGATTCACATTATATATCAAAGATGTTGTTCCATATGTTCTCAAACGTAAATATAAGCAACAAAACATTTCAATAATCATTAGTAAAGCAAATCAAGTGTTCACTGAAACATTGTACAAGTCAAAACAGGGAATTGCATCAGACATCGTGTTTGTCATTGACCTCCTCCACAACGCTTTTGGAAGCTATACTTTAGCCTTGATTGTTGTAAGAGTCGTATGGCGTTCTTTGAAATCTTCGAAGAAAGAGCTTTCTTGAGTTACCTCAAAAGCTGTGAATAGACACCAAAGGCTAAAGCTATTGGAATATTGTTCGACATAAAAGGAAAGTTGAAGTAATCCCTCGTGTCATTCAGTCTTTTGAAAAGTACTGTGTCATTTTTAATACAAATTCCTTTGAGTTAATATGGCTTTACGCCGCTTTTAGCAATAATCCAGCAATATCACGGCGGGGTCACCAGAAACGGGCTTCACACATTGGACCCATGTCGGGAATCGAACCCGGGACTTGGTGTGACGAGCGAAAGCTTTAACCACTAGGTTACCCGACCACCCCTAAATTCCTTTGAGAGAAGACGCCATGCTGGCAAACGTCAGGAAGAGGAGGGCGATGTATAAGTGGGGCGCACGGGATACATTTGTTTAATATCATTCATTAATGAGGGTGCCAACCCTCTTTCGGTACGCCGGGACCCGTGAAGATTCCGGGGTAGAATAGGCCTTCAGCAACCCATGCTTGCCGTAAAAGGTGACTATGCTTGTCGTAAAAGGCGACTAACGGGATCGGGTGGTCAGGCTCGCTGACTTGGTTGATGCATGTCATCGATCTCAATTGCATGGATCGATGCTCATGATGTCAATCACTGGATTGTCTGGTCCAGACTCGATTATTTACAGACCGCCGTCATATAGCTGGAATATTGCTGAGTGCGGCGTTAAACAACAAACCAACCAACCAACCAAATCGGTACGCCGGGTGCCGAGCCCTGTTAATTGGTATTCCGGGTGCCACAGTGCAGTACTCTAGTTGCCATAAAATGTGTATCTGGTACGTGGATGCCAATATTTCATTGTATAGATGTGTCCAAAGGCATAGGTTTTGCCCTCGGATGTTTGAAGCTTTGTGGGCCGACGGAAGACGAAACTCAGGGTTTTTATGTTTTAGAAGACAACAGCGATGTTAATTGTTGATGAGGAACAATGGTCGAAAGGTATATGATAGTAATCACGTGACACACCGGGACCGAGTGGTCATTGTTCCGGTGCGCAGACCCGTTCTGCCATTTACACACAGCAGGAAGTCGGACGGCGATTCTTCATCGTCGACGTAGTCGTTGGTGACTAGCCGTACAATCCGGCCGCTTCTGTCGGTGTTCAGGGACGTCTCCCTGATTGACCAGTCAGTCAGGTTTTGTATATGGGGGTCAAGGTGAGTGACCGACGTCATGTAGCTACGTAAGTTCGGCGACGTAAGGAGGTGTTAACTGACATTTACAGATAGCGCCGGAGGTTAAGGGTCCTGCCCGAAGGGGGCTTATGAATAGAGGTGACACCCCGAATGTTTGCTGTATACATTACACAGACAAAGGAGATAGAATTTCAGTACACTTTGGAAACATATAGAAACGATTAGGTAGTTTAGATCAATGAAGTTATTTTTAAAAAAAAGAAATGTATTGAAATTGTTTGCACTATAACGAATGTATTTTTTGTCTTTTATTTCTTTCAAACACTGACAAATCAATGAAATATTTAGCCCTGAGCTTATGGGCATGCATGTTTATGCATTCTATCTGAAGATTCCAGTTTAATTTACTTGTACCAGCAGTGTACACTGACATGACTAGAGAGTTCTTAAATTGGATGCCAATGTAACAGGGCGTGGAGTCGTCCCACAGAGGGTTAACCTCTTTGGTCATGTGGACAAGGCGTCCGACCTCGGATCAGAAGGTCCGTGGTTCGAATCCCATCACGGGACTCGGAAATTTTATGGCCGGTACACCAACAAAAATTAAATGGAATGCCGCATGCCTAGCGGGTTGGGGTTGGCACCCTCACTGAGGCCTATATCAGGTCATGGCATTTTGATCAATACAGCCACTGACAGTAACGGACATGGTACAACTGACACCAGCTTCTTCTTGCATGACACATAAAGATCTATGTGAAAAATAAGAGCTTCACAAGACTGAGTCGCCGCACTCTGTGACTCGTCAGATCTGGATGTAGCCATTGTTTAACACGACAACAACGTTGTCCACACCCTCGCCCACTGGGACGTGATCAAAGACCAGGTTATTTGAGCATCAATAAGTGATGACTGTATTTGTCGACCAGATGCTTGGGGCAGTCCTCACATAGAATCAAGATCAAACCCACCTGCAGGTGTGTGTCTTGTGGCGTGAACTGTACATAGAGACAATGGTATGTGTTGTGGTGTTTAAGAGTGGAAATTGACTCTGAATTAATTATCTTTAACTAAACTGGTAAACAGAGTGTAAAGCTTGTGTCTATCTCATGTTTAACAATCAACCGGGTCAGGGACATTTGGGGAAGATAAGAATTCATTCGTGACCAACTTGTGTTATTCCGGGACAAGCCGAATAGCGACTCCTGCCTCTCTCGTGGCCATTTTTGCGACCGGGTTCCGTCTTAGCGCAAACGGGCATACCCAACACAATTGTCAACTCGTTGCGTAATGGTTCACATATATTTCCCCATATATTATATGTATTTTAGATGCAATTTAAAGCACATCGGAACATGCGAAATTATACAGTATGATAGAACACATTTAACTGTGTCTTGGGTATATTTTTAGATGATATATGTAAAATCAAAAATTATTTCTGAGGGATTCTTTGACGAAGAACTTGAAATCATATGCGCATTTTGATTGGTTTGTCGTATTTTCGCACATAACATTCATCGATAGGGGGACGAGTCTTCTTGCAGGTTACGGAAAGGGTAGAGTGGTGACGAATGGATAAGAATTGTGTTCTACATTGATGTCCTGTTGTTTTTCAAAGACGTAGCGGTGACTACAGTAGACTCAAGAACATAGTTAATTGCATGGGGTATTTCACCATACGCATTTCAAAAACAAATCTAGCAATTTCACTGTCATGTTTAAAATGAAATGCTAGTATAACCAACACTGAATGATAGGATGGGGGTGGGACATAATATTTTCGTTCACGCGGGTACGAAGACTCACTGATCGATAATTAAGATTTGTATTGCAATAAAACGGGTCTTACTGCGCTAAGTGCATCAAATCACGCCAGCACCTTCATTAAAAACATGAAAAGACTTGGAAAATATCTGTTGACGGTACACATGCTTTGTAATCGACCGAAATCACGGCAGTTTACGAACCGGATGTTGATTTCGTTACGCGATATTTGATTGGACTATGCATAGACTCGTTAATCCAGCCAATTTCGGCATGGGTGGAAACTGGACTACCTCCCTAACTCCTTCTGAACGCTCCAACTTACCGATAATATAGTCTCCAAATCCTATAGTACTGAGCGTGGTGAAACAGAAGTAGAGCGCTTCCATGATGTCCCATCCCTCCACGATATGAAACACAAAGGAAGGCAGTCCGAACATGAGCGCTAGCCCCAGCACGATGATGAGGACCATGTTGAGGACCTTGTTGACCACAGGCTTCTGTGAGCACAGCTTCAGCTGGTTCACCTTGTTGGACAGGCCCGCTAGTTGTTGACCAAGTCCACTCAGCATCAGCATTGTGACCGGGATCCCGACGATGGCGTAAAACACACACACGATCTTCCCAATGATGGTACTGGGAGACATGTTGCCGAAACCTAGTGAGCGAATAACACCTTTATTAGCTGATCTGGCTTGGTGTAGGAGCGACATGCATTTTACGAGGTGGATGGTTTTGTACTCCACGAGACATGTATATGCGAAACTTCAGCTTGTAAAATCCCCTACGTTAGTGGCACATCGAATTATGTTTGTTGTTTACCGCCGCACTCAGCAATTTTCAAGCTATATGACGGCGGTTTATGAATAATTGCGTCTCAACCAGACAATCCAGTGATTGATATCATGAACATCGATCAACGTAATGGGATACGATGGCATGCTTCAACCAAGTCAGCGAGCCTGACCACTCGATCCCGTTAGTCGCCTGTTATGACAAGCACAGTCGCCTTTTACGGCAAGCATGGGTTGCTGAAGGTCTAATCTAACCCGGATCTTCACGGGTATCGAATTCATCACGGAGATATATTTAAGTAGCATCTAGAAGCTGTTGTGTCAATGACGACAGAATTGACTCATGGAGTTCAATGTCTTCAACGTCTTCACTTCTGAAAGTTTTGAATACTAAGTGATGATGAGAGAGTTTATACCGTAAAGAGGCCATCGGCCTATTATACAAGTTACAGAGAGGTAAGTTACAGTTCCAGTTCCATGGAATCATGATATCAATATATCAATGTGTTCAATATTTGTATAATATATCAGTATGTTTATGTTTAGTTACTTGTTTTATATCAAAAGTAATAAATACGTTTCTTGTGTGCTAGGTATATGAATTTGATTAAACCTGTTAATAAAGAATCAGAAGTCCTTAAATCCACCAATTCTTCCTTGTCATTACGAAGTTCACAAGTTGTGAGGCTGGGATTTTAATAAATAAATATATTGTCCCTGAAAACTCTTGAAAAGAGTAATTATGCTTCAGACCTTTGAAAAAAAGAAGAAACTGCCTGCCACAAAAATTGTATTGTTGCAAGGTGTTTCTTAAAAAAAATCAGGCTATAGTATAGTAATCCCGCCCACCCCGACCCCCGACCCCCGACTCCCGACTGGTCTTGTATACACACCTATTGTCGTTACTACAGAAACAGCAAAGCCGAAAGCTCCCCCGAAGTCCCATCTGTCGAGGTTTGTTCGGTTTTCAACGGCGTAAGACACAAGCTCCTTGTCCTGGCTCGCGTGTTTGAGCAGCTCGTGCAGCACGTCTCGTGACACGCACGAGTTATTGCCTGAAATATACACAGAGTTCGTTTTATGACAACATTATTGATTAGAAGAACGACGACTAAAACATTTCTTCAGATTACCCAAAATTCAATATAAGTTGTCCACAGGTCTCGTGTTGGGCCTGGACTGATGTAGCCCTTCGGGTCGGGGAACCTAAACTAACATTGAGGGTACGTCAACCATGCCGCTCGAGGGACGGTGAACAACGAATATATCTGCGTGCTTGCTTTGGTCCGATTCGGTAAGAAGGTAAGGATACCACAGTTAGGCATTAATCCACTTCCTTCATTTTACCCATTCATCGAAAAAACACACTACAGAAACAAACTTGGAGTTATCCCCCCTAGATTTGTTTCATTCGGAAAATTGCGTAAATATTCGCGAAATGGCGCCTTACATCATTCATTCGAGATACAAAACTGCGGTTGGTATGTTGCAAATATAATGCCAACAGTTCGGCATTTCGAGCGGGGAACTAAGGAATGTGGGTTACATGTCAGAGGTGAGGTGAGGTGAAATTGGGTTTAACGTCGCGTCCAAGATTATTGCACTTATATAGCGACGTGCATGCACGTGTGTGTGTGGCTGCTTGTACTAATCCGGACTGATGCCTATTTATAGTGCTACCCCACTGAGATACCATGCCGCAGTTTAACATGAATACCCCACTCAGACACAGTACACTGACTCCGAGCCGACCAGTCCTTGTTTTAGCCCCTTAATGCCGAGAGCCAGACAGGGTAACAACAAGTACCATCTTTTTAACGTATTTTGGTATTACGCGGCCGGGGATCGAACCCCGGACCTTCTGCTCTCCGGGCGGACGCTCTACCACTAGACCACGGTGGCGGTCCTAACATGTCAGAGGGGCGCAAACGGGCATAGTGACATAAATAGTCAACATATGCCACATCCGCAGTTTACGTGTTAACAGTTACTTGTTGTTCACTATGATGAAACAATTGCGACTATCACATGTTTAAATACAAGCCTTAACTAAAAACAAAAAACATATTAAGGAGGGATGCTTTTTGGTTGGTTTGTCGAGTTCTGGACTCGACACTCCAATGGCTGAAAGCATTGACAAACATGCACAATGGCTGGATACCAAGACACAACAATGATTTTGTTTTGTTTGGTTTGTTTGTTGTTTAACGCCGCACTCAGCAATATTCCAGCTATATGACGGCGGTCTGTAAATAATCCAGTCTGGACCAGACAATCCAGTGATTGACATCATGAGCATCGATCCACGCCATTGGGTCCGATGACATGCATCAACCAAGTCAGCGAGCCTGACCACCTGATCCCGTTAGTCGCCTTTTACGACAAGCATAGTCGCCTTTTACGGCAAGCATGGGTTGCTGCAGCTGAAGACCTATTCTACCCCGGATCTTCACTGGTCCAACAATGACGTCAATACAAAGGTTCTATTTTTATATTTTAATATTATTTATTACTAATTTCACGATCGTCTCTAAAAACCGTGAGTCAGCCTGAAGGTATTTCCGGCATAAAGTGCTCTTGCTCTCGGTGAGATATCGATTATATATATTTTTAGATAAATACAGTATTCATCATCAAATACATCCTTTAAGTTCATTAAAGTCTCGAGAAGTTTTTGTTTTTCGTTTCCTTGTTTGTTTAGTCCCGGACACAGTTATATGACGGTGGCCTGAAAATAATCGAGTCTGATCCAGATAAACATAAGATTGATATTATGAACAACATCCAATGCCATCGGGGTACGATCACATGCAATCAACCAAGTCACCAAGCCTGAGCACCCAATTCATTAAGTCGCCTCTTGGGACGAGCATAGCTTGCTGGGGACCAGGATCCGCCGACTGGATACAGTGTCCCAGGTTCTGTCCTATATGTTGTAAAATGTTTGTTTCCATTGGCGTTTTCAAAATTAGCTTCTAGCTAATGGGTACCCGGTAGAATTAATTTAATGTTATGGAGCTATGCATACCACTCCGAATGCCGTTAATACACGTGATAGAGGTAATAATTGTGTACGTACAAGGTCTTTTTAACTCACAATACATTATTGAAGTCCGAGTGAGTTGGGTTTAACGCCGCTTTTAACAGTATTCCAGTTATATCGTGGCGTGTCAGCTTAATGTTGGAGGAAAGCCCGAAGTGATGTAGGTCTTAGACGTTTACCACTTCGGTGAAACACACGAGCACGGGTATGGTGCTAGCCAACATAGAAACAGAATCGGGGTGAACCGGGATTCGAACCGACAATCATAGGTTTCTGGCGTGCCCAAGGGACGTAACTCTGCACAGCGAATTGCGGCGCCTTAGAAGACTGGGCCACCCGTGCCCCCTTCAAGTCCAAGGTACAAAGTGTTTTGTAGAATGTCGATACAGAATGTCCCTGCCATGCTGCTTATATATGTACACGTAAGGAGGAAACATATGAAGCATAACTGGCTTATGCTATTTATTACTCATTCTCAGTCCAGAAACATTAATTTGAAAACACAAATCTCAACTCGTATTTCATTTCTGTAGGGCGGTTTACTTGTCTCCAGCCGAGATGGGATGTTACCTATTGTTACATGACGTCATTACATTGCAGAGTGACCTCATTAAGTTCGTTTGGTTCAAATTTGGTCATTTTTAACATACCAATTACCAGTTACCCTCTCCATAACACCTCACTGGAGTAAGATGAAGCGGCGCATCACATAGATACAATGCTTTCCAAACATTGTAAACCTCTACAGTAGGTGAGGCGAAATTGGGTTTAACGTCGCGTCCAAGATTATTGCACTTATATAGCGACGTGCATGCACGTGTATGTGTGTGGCAGCTTGTACTAGTTCGGACTGATGCCGATTTTTAGTGCTAGCTCACTGAGATACCATGCCGCAGTTTAACATGAATACCCCACTCATACACAGTATACTGACTCCGAGCCGACCAGTCCTTGTTTTAGCCCCTTAATTCCGAGCGCCAGACAGGGTAACAACAAGTACCACCTTTAAACGTCTTTTGGTATGACGCGGCCGGGGATCGAACCCTTGACCTTCCGCTCTCCGGGCGGACGCTCTACCACAAGACCACGGAGGCGGTACAACCTCTACAGTATATTTATCTGGCAAATATGTAGACTTGTCATAGTTTGTTTTCATATCTAAAAAGGTAAGTTCAGTAAAAAGGTGGGTAAATCAGTGGATGGGGATTGGGTATCTGGTCATCGATACACCTGGAGCCTAAGATAAACGTTTGGACCAAATTGACTTGTTTTGATTTGGCATTCCGAGCAGAAATTCCGATTAAATGATAAAGAAACAGATCAGAAAGATGGGGGAGCACACTTGGTGCCATTAGGGATGACTACTTCTTGCATAAAAGTCTCATCCCATCTCATTTTACAGAGATTTTCTTAAACATTTCAAAAGGTTTTATGGTAGACATGGGGAGGACATTTCGAAGTTTGACGCATCAGTGACAAAAATGATGTCGGATGCAATTCCCTAGTTTGACTTGTACCATATGTTCCCATATTCTTTTCGGGTGAACAATTGACTTAACTTTGCATGTGTTTGTGACGGGTGCCACCGGTGGGGCAGGATACACTCACCTTTTCTCGAACACCTGGTATCAGTACTATTTGGTAGTGATTCATAAACACATGCTCATGATATAGTCGGAATTGTACAATCGACTCTGCTTTATGCAGAGATTTCTGTTGGATTTGGAAAGGGTTTTGTCATTTTATTTACTCAATGAAGAAGTCACATTTCACATATTGTTTTCTCATTATACTTCAGATGACATTTGCTATAATTTTGGCATCTGAAGATATATATGTTACTATATGGTCATAAGGTATAGTTACAAATGCCCAATGGACCAAGCAGAGGAGTTATTTCCTGAAGTTTGTCGTTAGGGATAGTGGTGTACAAAGTTTAAAAATCAAAAGTTTTGACAGAATGGAACTTGGCTCTTTTCTCAGATTGCAAACATTTAACAAATCCATGAGTGTTTGAGAATCCACGTAAATTTAGTAATTGTACTTGTCACAAATACTTTCTGTGAATATCAAGACGGTACTTTCTTTATTCATCGATATAAATCTCCCAATCATTCTGTCTCTACACATCATAAACTATCTGTCGTCTATAAAATGGTAACATTTCACTCAATACAATTTCGAAAATATAACCGACTTTCAACATTAGTAAGAGAATGAGTGTTATATTTCGCCACTTTAAGCAACATTCTAGTCACGGCGGGGAACACCACGAGTGGGTTCAACACCTTGTTATTGCATGTAAACAGGATGTAGTTCCTTGGGGTTTTAGGATTTAACACGTCGTGTACCGTATCATGTCATAATTATGGGTATTGTACCAAAATAATGCCACTATAATAATTAGTTCATGATGAAGGTGATGGTAGAGCGTCCGCCCGGAGAGCGGAAGGTCCGGGGGTTCGATCCCCAGCCGCGTCATACCAAAAGACGTTAAAAGATGGTACTTGTTGTTACCTTGTCTGGCGCTCGGCATTAAGGGGCTAAAACAAGGACTGGTCGGCTCGGAGTCAGTATACTGTGTATGAGTGGGGTATTCAAGTTAAACTGAGGCATGGTATCTCAGTGTGCTAGCACTATAAATCGGCATCAGTCCGGACTACTACAAGCGGCCACACACATACACGTGCATGCACGTCGCTATATAAGTGCAGTAATCTTGGACGCGACGTTAAACCCCATTTCACCTAACCTCACCTCATGATGAAGGTAGACAAATACATTGCAGAGGGCGAGGAATAACTAGGACACATTTTTGGGCTCACTTTGTATGTCACATTGTTAAGTTACGAAATTTTGAAATGTATTGAAAATTATCGAACATGTTCCTACAACTAAGAACTTTCGTTTTTCCGACACCGGTATGATCAACTATAAAAGTACAATAAAACTAAGTAAAGCTTCCAAAACGTTTTAAGGTAAACACATCGGAGGACATTTCCAAATTGGCAT